CTGTTATAATAAGCACCACGCTGGTTGATATTTACAGAATCTTCAAACGCTTTATTTATGTAGCTATCGAGCTTGAGTTGAGATATCGGCGCTAGAATAGACTTTGATCAATCATGTAATTCTCAGACATTTCACCGGAACTTCCGCAGATTTGCAAAAGTTCCGCAGACTTTGTTTACTATTGCAAAAGTGAAAGCGCTGAAAATGGGGACTTCCGCACGATTTTCACTTCACGCCAAACTGACTGAAAACGGAGACTTCCGTGGCTTTTACAAAATGCTGCGGAAATTCCGAAAAATGCCAGCTGTTCCGCAGCACTCTGGCCTGCCAGTACTTCCGCAGGATAAGGTTCATCTTCCTTTGCCGTTGTGTTCACATTTTTCTGAGCTACCGCACTACCTCACTTCGGAACTTCTGCAGCGCGTTTACGAAACTTCCGCAGGTGCCCGGCGGAACACCGAACGTTCTGCGGAAGTTCCGGTCACTTGTCTGAGAAGAAATTATTCTTTACAGACAGCACTGATGAATTTTGGGCTTGCACGTCTACTAAGCTTCGACATTGAGAATTGCGCTTCCTATTCAGAAAAAGAAGATGAAATTTACTTACGAGCTTCTTTGTACATATTGGCCAAATTATCCCAAATTATGGTCCAGTATTCTTCTTCCCAATCTTGAAGTTCGCACAACTCTTTGAGACGGGACAAAGAGATCTTATCCGATTTCATCTAGAAATTTGATAATTAAGTACGCTATAAAGTGATCACTATTTTGAAAAGAAAAACCTCCACAGTCAGCTGGCTTTTGCGCTGCCTCGCTTTTTGCAAAATTTTCTCATTGAGGAAAGAAGTGGGGCAAACACCTTTGAGTCCAGTCTGAACATCCATTATAATTTTAGATTTCAAGTTCAACTTTTCCACTTTTGAATTCAACTAATTTGAAGACTTGTTGGAGAACGGCACTCGATATAGTATCGAAAATACAATGATCAAGAACTAGCCTTGAATAACCGTGGGGCACTCACTTGATGTACGAATATGGCTTCTATGGCCCTCAGATGATAATGCACCAGATCGTCGTAACCATCAAAGGTTGGCTGCATTCAGTTTGATGAAAAACCATAACAGAAAACACAAGGGAGGGCCACGGAGTTGAAGTGGCCGACCGTTACAGAGTGCATACGATTAGTAAGAGCTCAGAGTGCTAATTCAAACAGCGTCCAGGCAGATCTGGACATATGGGGCTCTGTGGACAGTAATTTCGGGACCCTAACTAAGACACTGCCCAACAGGCAGCTCAGTGTTCTATTTTCTGAGATATACGACTCCAAACTGGACCCCAGGACCGTATTTCGCATGGATTCATGGCACGCGCCACATCAGTTTCGCGCGAGGATCCATGCGAAACTGATTTCGCGCCATCTATGCGGAAT